TTTTTTTTTTTTTTGCTTGGGGCGGCCAGAAAGCCAGAGTTGGCCCTGCCGAGAATGAAGCTCAGGCTTACTCTTATTGTCAGCTGACCAGATCCTGAGCTAATTTGCAATAGGATTGTATGGGATGTAAATCAGCACCAACCAACCTCCGTCCCCACACTTAGCTTCTACTAAATCAAGAGTGCAAAGACTTGCTATCGTGCCCACAGATTGTCTCAAGCAGGAACAAGCAGCATCTTGGAGGCGAAAGGAAAATCTGTGGAGCGATTGGATGTTCTTGACAGATATGAAGGGAAGATACATTTGTTGAATGATCTGTCTCCTTTTCCCGTAGAAATAACAATGCTCCCCACTCCCTGTGATGGACACTTATTTGATGGAGACTGAGCACCACCCATTAATATAAGATAGGGTAGGCTGGTGATTTTCCAGGAGTCTGAGGGCCACCCTGATTTGAATTCAGTGAGGCAGGCTATAGCCATTCTCATCTATAATATAGAGATGCAGCCCATGGAGAGTCCAGGTCACAGCATGTGCTACTCCATCTCAATCTGAGCAGCATGCCTGAACCTGTTGGCTGCACGAACTTGTGATCAACATCTATTTCCTCCCCTCCGTGCTACATAAGGGGACATTCTGACCTCAGAAGAGATTGAAAAAATGGTTGCTAGGGCCAATGCAAAACTGGGGAATGTCAGATCATGAAAAGCATTCAATAGGCCAAATCAAAATGATCAGAATAGAAGAGATCCATGAGGTTGGACTTCAAGTGATATATGGTTTTATGTTATGTTTTGTAATGTTCAGTTCAGAAGTTGCTGCTGCTGTGCTACAGAATTGCTCCCCAGTCCTTCCCCCGACCCACACACCAATCATGAGACAGTTCAAGTTAGAGTGATCACTCATCGACTTTGAAAATTCCTGTTATCTTCCCAGAGGAGGGGCACCTGTCAAAGAAAAATATTTCTCTAAGTTGCTTCAACTGCAGGTTTCATTAATCATTTTGCAGGAGTCCCTCATGTGTGCAGTTGGGGCCTCCTATTTAACTGCATATTTGAACTTCCTGGCAAAATGAGCAAAACTAAGTGACGGGAAACAACATCCTACTGAAGCATTAATCTGCCTCTGTGAGCCCAAACTAGAGCTAGAAAGCTAAGACTGCATGCGGCAATGAACATTGCTAAGCACTTCAAAAGTTTCCTATGTGGTTAGACCTGGAGAACAAACAGTATTTTCTCCAAGTCAGAATGACACTCATGAATCATTGAGTTTACCAGTGACAAACCTCTGCTGATGAATGTTAGTAATGTTGAACTTATCATGATTGAGTTAGTACCATGTGCAAAGCACCTGGAGCACTGACATCATCATAAACCTAGCAGGTAGAGTGCATGACCAGCTTTGAATGTTCTATGGAAAGTCAATCACTCATGATCTTAATGCTGGATCCTTCTACTCTTGACTGGGCAGAATTCTGAGGAAATAGACCATCCTTAAGGGGTCTTGCCAGTTTAATTACTTTACCTTAATAAAATCAGCTTTCTCCTTGTCCTTGCACAGCTCCTGAATTGTTTCCATCAGCTCCTTACAGGTGTCAAGATTTTCTCCACAACTGACCAGTTGCCCATACAAGGCTTCTAGCTTCTGTTTCTTCTCTTCCCCAAGGCCTTCTACCTTTTCTTCATATCTCTGGGTTAGTGTTTGCATCACTTCATTGTAATGCATCTCGAAGTTCTGCTCTTGGCGCCCAAAATTCTCCTGGAAGGCATTTGGGTTTTATTTCATTCATCTAAGGCCCGAGCCAAAGCCCACTGAGGTCAGTAAGAAGGAAAATCTTACTGATATCAAATCGAAGTGATTGTTACAACGGAGACAATCTTGTTACATATAAATAGTTACTAGACTATGTAATATTATTATTCGATTATAAATAATGACCATATTTTATAACCATTTATTAAGCTCCCTCACCCCCCACAAAGGCACTGGGGATGCTAAACATTCATTCCAGATATAAATCAAACATCGTAAAGTATAATAAAAACAATAGTGTGATGAATAAAACCAGCCTCTAAACTAAAAACTAGAAACACAAATAGGTGCACATTCCAGTTACAATAAGTAGGTGTTTCCACCTATATATTTGCACCGAGCCACCGAGGGGAACCGTAGCTCCCCATTGGGGATTCATGCATTCACTCTAGGGGAGCTGAGCAGCTAATGTTTATATCCTCACCCTCCCAAAGTGGGGGTCCAGTGGGAGGGAAGATTTAAGTGGAAATCTGGGCTTCCTGGCCAGCAGCTTTTTATTGTTCAGGCAGCGCGGCCTGGCTGTAGCCACCATCCGCTACCTTGTGCTACTGCAACCTCCTTCCATTCAGATGTTCCACTATCAGGGCCAGGCACCCTGGGATGAGATGGAATAAGCCAGGGTTGAATCTAGCCCTTGATATACTGCAGTGCATTGTATCATGTTACATTTTGCGCACGGTAACCATGGCCTCTATTGCTGTAATTACTCAGCCTGTATAAAAGTGAACACTACAGGCTTGTCAAAGCAGCTGTGTACTCAGCTGGTCCCACATTGCGGAGTTAATCAACGAGCAAATTGCTTACTTCTACGGTGATGAAAATTTCCTCCAAGTGACTGGCAAAGTTTTCCATTTCAGTAACCTGTTCTTCTAATTTACACATGTTTTTCTGAATCTCCTCCTACCAAACAGAGCATCATTATTAATAGGCTTGAACACTATTTAACAGATATGCAGAATAATGGAAGAGACCACGTGGATTATTCTTACCTTTGCACTTTCCACTGCATTGGCAAGTTGGGTCACCTCATGGTCCTTATGATCACCAAACAATTTGTCAAAGGCTCTAATTGGAATCTTGCAAGTAGCACAATAAATATCAGCAGCTTCCTCTTCACTGTTTGGTTGAATATTCTGCTCATCTTGCCTGTCATCACTCCTAAGCTCTTCTTTGGAACTCGCATGATTATGCAACTCATCATATGCTCTCGCACTGTGTAGGGGTTGAGATTCATCTTGAGAATCCTTGCCAGGAAGTTCCTGTTCCTCTGTGCTTTCCATGGGTTTTTCATGCTGAGAGCCGTTTACTGGTGAACTGCTCTTCGGTGCATTATATATGGAGCCATATGATCCCGCTGCTACACCTTCCTTGTGAGCTGGTGTCTCTTTGCTCTTTAAAATCCCAGCTATAGCTATATTCCCACCAAGAAGCTCCTGATCTATTTCTTTATCCTCATCAAGTCCATATAGTTTTGTTAGTTCATCAACTTCCTTTTCCAAGTCATATGCACTTTGGTCAGAACTGCGAAAATCTTCCCCTGGCCCTGTTGACTCTTCGCTGGTTTCGCCCAGAGCCCCATCTCCTCTTCCAGCTGGTTCTTCAGGAAAGATTTCTAATCTTCCCTTTGATTCATAGAGATCCATGTGATAAAACGTTAAGCCTTCAGGCTCATTTTCATTAGATTCTGGAAACATCATGGCCGCTGCTGGATCAGTGGCTGGATCTAAAGCTGCTGTATCACTACTGAAAACAAATTCATTCTCCATTGCAGTGGCAGGGCTGAATGACAGCAGTACTGTAAGGCCTTCCAGATGATCAGATGAAATGTGTTTTAGTCCTTCAGAATAAAAAAAAAAGAATTAGTCATGTGTTTGCTTTAAAATGCACAGACAGAAGAGGTTGTGTTTAGGACTGCTGTTGATCTGGACAGGGCCAGCTCCAGGCACCAGTGAAGGAAGCAGGTGCTTGGGGCGGCCAATGGAAAGGGGCGGCATGTCCGGGTCTTCAGTGGCAATTCGGTGGTGGGTCCCTCAGTCCCTCTCGGAGGGAAGGACCGGCCACCGAATTGCCGCCAAAGAATGAAGCGGCGTGGTAGAGCTGCCGCCGAAGTGCTGCCGATTGCGCCGCCAATCGCGCCTTTATCTTATTTAGTTAGTTAGTTAGTTATTGCTTCGCCGCTTGGGGGGGCAAAAAAGCTGGAGCCGACCCTGGATCTGGACCTAGGCCCTCCTGGAAAATACCAAAGTTAGTAGATAGATTTCCCAACAGGGCTCTACTTTTGTCAATGGATCTGCCATGGCTGATCCAAAACACACCTAAGGCCTCTTGTGTGCATGGAGACAGAAAGATAAAATGGAGACTGATGTTCTGCAGAAGTGGCTAGTGGAAACCAGAGTTTCCACCAGAACAGGGGGAAGAACAGCCTAGTCAAGGTGACATGCAGGAGTGACACAATATGAATATCTTAAAAAGCAATTTTGTCACATCCTTCTGTTATTATATTGGATAATGGTAAAGTGTCAGTTGCCAGGTGGGGCCAATACCAGGGACTAAACTGGGGGATCTCCAGAGCTAAAAGTGTAACTCTACAGTTAGTGCTAATGAACCAAGGTGGCAAGCAGAGAACTGCAACACATGCTCAGTGGACTTCTGAGATTTTAACAACTAAATGCCCATCCGCACTGGGCATGCTCCAGCCTGGGGCTAAGAGAAATTTCCCTGCAATTGCAGCAGTGAGCTGCTGTGAAGCATGCCAGCTCTATGCCCCTGAACTGAGTGCAGGGAGGGAGCCTGTCTCTCCTTGCTCTCGGTGACTCCCGTGCTGGGCCCAGGCAGCCCAAAGGAGAAAACTGCCTGAATCAAATGCAGAGAGGACAAAAGATGGACCTGCGAGGATGAAGGAAGGAGTAGATGTGTACAAAGAGACTGGGATTGGCTGGGCAAGGAGACTGGACTGGGAGCCATGGAGGGAAGCCACGGGGGGACTACGAGCTGGTAGTTGGGAGTGGGAGGGGGAGACTGAGTTCAGATGCGGTGCCAGAGGAGACTGGGACTGGCTAGACAAGAAGACTGGGATTGAGAATCTGTTGGGCAAGGGGAAAGAAGTGAAGGGGAGGGAGAGACAGGCCTAATAAGGACTCAGAATGCAACGGGAAAACTGGGACTGGCTGGGCAAAGAGCCTGGGACAAAGAGCTAGAGGTGACACACTGAAATTGGACAAGGAGCCTGGGGATTGATCTTGGAACTGGGAGCCAGGGCAGATAAAGAATGTGAGCAGGTGGTGGGACGACTGGAGGCCAGGGTGGTGGAGAGAGACAGATTGTATGAAGAACCAGGAGGGGAGAACTGGGATGAGAAGCCTGTGGAATGGAACTGTCTAGGTAGAGGAAAGACAGGCCTGGGACAGAGACTACTGAAGGAGACTGAGTAGAAGGGGGTTGTGTTTGGAGAAAATGGGTAAAGAGTGTCTCACCCACCAGTGCTAGTCCACCTAGAGGATGACTTTTGAGTGCTTGACTTTACAACCTTCATAATGTTCTTTTAACATAGGAGTTTTTTGGGGGGTTGGGAGAATTGCATGTAATTTAAGTATAATTTTCTAAATACATATGTATAGATTCCTAAATATGTATCTAACTATTTCTGTATCTATAGACATGTAGAGGCATGGAGACACCCAATTACTGGAGCTGGAATTTACATGCCGTTCATCATGGCATAAAGCATACTGTTTTACTGAAGTAATGCACTCCACCTCACACACTCCTACTGTCTTTTCAAAAGTCTCTCATCTTTTATTGAACAGTCCCCACCCCCAGTCTTCTAGCAAGCCTGGAATTAATATCATAATAAGAATTTATGTTAATATTCAGAGAACATTTGGTGTGCTCTGTCAGGTTTGAAAATTCACTGTAACGCCATGCAGCTCATCAGCACTAATAAGATCATGGCCCTGGAGAGCATAAATACATTTGTTTTTGTTTCCAGCAGTTTATTGCTATGGTTAAAGAGTTCATAGAAATACTTCAAGTGTTAGTTCAAACATTTCCATTGCATGTTAATGAACATATATCACAGTTACATCTAGTCACACCTCAATTAGGCATTTTAAGGCTTCTAAAATGACAATGTGGGTTTCTTCCTCTCCCAGAAAGAATCAAGCTTATTGAAGCCATTTTAGAAGCTGTAGCCTTTGGGAGGTTTCCAAATTGCCATTTAAAGCTCTTACCGTTTCCGTTAGCTCCTATCCCTTCACATTTTTTTCTGTGATTTTATTGATTTCCTGGCAGTTAATTGGCTAACAATGCTTTATTAAGACTTTTTTTCACTACTTTTGTGAGAGATTAAATTTTCCCTTTTAAAACATGTATCATGGAACAACAGCCAATTTCTAGCAATATGCTTAGTTCACGGGGATCTTGGCTTAATAGACGTCAAATATTACTATCACTTTAGAGGTGAACTGGTGAGAAATTTTGTGGAAAACATTCCATTCTCCAGAGTTACGTTGGTGTAACTGAGAACACAGTCTAGCCTCTGCTTTTATACACAAACACAGTCATTGAAGATATGAAAGTTGAACTTAGACTTAACACATTTTACTGTCCCTAAAAATATTGATAAAAGGCAGACCATATTATATATGCCACAGGCAATCAAATAAATCACGTTTATATCTTGGGTGTCATGCAGTATTAAAATATTCAACAGGACAATAGTCTTGAAATATATTGAAAAGAAGTCTAACTCCTGCAAAGATTTTTCATAATTTAACAACCAAACAGTCCGTTTTACAAACTATAAATTATCTGCTACTAAATCCAAAACTGAAATATCAAGTATTTTGCCTAGCATGTTGTAATTCAATTACATACATTAAAACAAGTATAATTAAAAGTGTCTGGAACTCTCCTGCCAGAAAACTTTCTGGATTATGGGGTTTGCTCAATTTACAAACATAGATACAATTACAATGCGGTATGTTTAAAGTCCTGGAGGTTCAACAATACAAAACACTTAAGAAAAGATGAACTCTTCCTACCTAAAAACTTGCCTTCTTATCTTAAGAATCCATAAATTCTTCTTATAACCAAGATGAACCAAACTTCACATCTATTTTTCCTAGCAAAAATTTATTCACATGAAGGTAATTCCCTGCCAGCTTCCTGTGACTGGAGCTGAAAGACATATTAAAGTAATTCTAGCCCGTTTCTCAAATGACATGTCAGCTATGAGCAAGAGTGACAAATATAGATCGGTACCAGCTGTCATTCAGCTGCACACTACTTAAATGTCACCAGGAAGAATGTCATACACTGAAAAAAATGACTCAAGAAGTTGTGTGGTGTTCCCAGGCTTGAAGTACTTTAAACAATTATTCAGTGCTCCCTTAAAAATAGAGAACTCTGCTGATATTATTAAAAGTGTCTGAGGTGTCTGTCAGTGAACCTAGACATGTTTTACAAAGTAGTGAGTCAAGAGTAAGTAACATTTCTTATACCTTATGTAGGGAGCATATATTCTCTCTCTCTCACACACACACGCATGCATGCACTGACCTAGTTAAGTTTAAATATCTGTTAGCTTCTTTATAAAAGTTTAAATGGCACAGTCCTGCTCCCACTTCAGTCAGCAGAAGTACTGCCATTTATTTCAATGGGAAGCAAGATCAGATCCTAGAAAACATTATGGTACAAGTAATTAATTTGTATATATATTTTAAATACATTTATTTCTATTACTACTGTACTGATACATACTGTACCTATACATACAGACTATCTGGAGGCTGAAAATGGCAGAGAAAACAGCTGCTGGCTAGGTAAGTGGAGTGCCCTGGCTTATCTGATCAAAGAACAGCCCCTATATTATTAATAATAATGATTAGAAATTATTTAGATTGCAGTAGCCCTGGTGACTTATGTGTCCAAACAAATCAACTGAAACTGAAATATGTAATACTCTCTAGCTTGCAGACAAGCTACAGAGCAAACATTAATTGCAGAAGTTCTTGAATGCCTTACAAATTATTCACCCATTTCCTCTCTTGTATAAGCCTGGAGTGACGGCATAGTTTTGTTTAAAAGCACAGTGCAGTTATTGCAGCCTCAGAAATATCTATTTGTGTTTCACTGACCACACAGGCCCACCAAGGAAAATTCTCCACTTTATTTTTGTGTTTCTTCCTCTCATTTTTTCTCACTCCTGCTGTTTGTCCACTAAGTGATGAATTATGAACTAACTACCAGTGTGGCCAGGCTCCAGGGCCGGCTCCAGGCACCAGTTGAGCAAGCTGGTGCTTGGGGCGGCAGATTGTTGGAGGCGGCATTCTGCCCAATCCTAGGGCGGCACGGCTGCTTTTTTTTTTTTTTCCGTTCCGCTCCGGCCACCCTGTAGGGGGCGGCGGCGCGGAGAACCAGA